TGGCCAGTGCAACCTGTACAGTCCTTTCAGCTTCAAGTAAGCTGCTTCTTTTTGATTTAGTTAGACGATCAAGGGCTTTATTGTCATCTGAGCATTGCATCTGCAAGGAAAAAAAAAACTATTCAACGAGAGAAATATCAATCACATATAATTTATAAAACATCTAAATTATTTTTGTGAGACAGAAGCAATAGTTCAAAAGTCACAACAAAACCTCTTTGCCGGGCAAGCTTCAGTTCAGCCTCCAGGGTGCAAGAATTGCTTCAATTGGAGGCATATCATCGTCCTTTTGAGCAGCATGGACCCTTCTCAGAGTGGCCTCAGCTGCAAACTGAGCAGCCATCGATGCCTTCTTCTCATCATTTATTTTCTTGATTTCAAGATTCTGCAGAACATGTTTATTAACTAATTATAGCAACATACCAACATAAGGTAAGCTTGAATTTTTCCCCCCACAGCAGCAATACCTTGCTTCCATAAGAGATTCAGTCAACTTAAGCTTCTCTTCCATCCTCGAGACCTCATCAGAGAGCTATTGATCAAAGAGAAACAAAGTTGGTATCCATCTCAATCACAAAATATTATAAGATGCCAGTCAGATAATCCACGTAACCCACATTTGTGTCCAGCATTGCCAACAGTCATACTTATATGGATATTCATTACTATAAAATATTGATAAACAAGAGTCTTCGATGCAAGAGCATTGGCAAGTATGTAGAAGAGCAATAATTACATAAAGGTGATGAGTTTTCCTGGACAGAAAAGGGACCATGCAGTCCAGAAATAGTAAGATAAAATGGCAATTAAACATCTGAATCCCTAAACAACAGAACAACTCATTCACTTATGAGGTTGGGATCTCTAAAACCCATTACAGATTTAAATATGAAGTAGAAAACAGAAATGGAAGAATAACATTTAATCTAACAGGAAACTACGACATAGTTCTAGAATACTAGACTACATGTAGAAAGAAAATCTTATGACAAATTTGACAGGCCAAATGAATAGACAGAACCAAGCAACTGAAGAGATAAAACATTGAAATTATCTAAAATTTTAAATCGGATATACAGGTACTACAAGGCAACCTGAAATGAAGTTGGATAAAGCATCACGAAGCATCATAAATGAAGTTAGATGAGACAGCCCATCATGACTTTCTAGAACTACTGAGCAACAATTCTCAATGATGAAACTTCCAACAACATGACTTTGACAAAACAGTACGTATTTCGGCAAATTACATCCCCAGAGACCACAAACTAACTTTCCAATCATCAGAAGTTTAACATAGATTTGCTATCAGCAACGGAGACACGAGCAGACACAAAACGTTTTACGCAAAAATTTGCAGGATCTACTTTTCTTCATAAATAACAATATGCACTGAAAATCTGAATATAAACAGTCTCATCTCATCCTTTATCATTTTTTACCAGTTATTTCATCTCTAACCGTAATCTTTCCCGAAATAAATAAATACACGTTTGTGTGGAGGAAAAAACTGGATTTCCATACTAAAATCACGCAAAGAAAAAAATATTAAGCATTTCCAAAATAATTACTATCATTACTAAAGTGTTTCCACCAATCAGTTAAAACTAATTTCTTAAATAAAAATAAAACCAATATTTTTTTCAAAAAAATAATAATAATCAACCTCTTCGACAGCCTTTTCTCTAAGCCTTTCAGACATCCTTAATGCCTTAATTTCCGCTTGTGCTTCTCCCAAATCTCTATCTTTATCTGTAACCCAATCAAAAAATAATAATCATAATTCAAAACTAATAAAAAAATAAAAACGGTTCATGTCAAGTAAAAAGCAGCTGATTGAACCAAATCAATGAAAAAACAACTGATCGAGCAACATTTCTCACCTCTAACTTCATTCTCCAACCGATTTAGCTCCACTTTCACCCGGATCCGACCCGTGAAGCAACGTAATGAACTCATTATCTGCATCGAAGCTAGGCCTAACAGGTCTCCTTCGACGAAACCTTTCCCTCCGCTCTCCCTAAACAACGCCGACACCGTCAACGACGGATGAGCTCCCTCCGAGGTCGATGTCACCCTCACCGGCGACTCACTCCCCGCATTGCTTCCCCTCCACCGCTTCGCCGTCAATCTCCGACATCTCCGATTCAAACACTCCCTCCCACCACTCTCACGCCCAAATGCAAAAAAAAAAAATCCAAACAGAGAAGCTTGATTCACATCTAATACTTCCAGTGGATCCAAATGCTAGGGTTTTCAAATCAGTTGAAATACAGCTGTTAACAATTCTCAGATAAGAGAAAAAGAGAGAGAATGAAGATAAAGAAAATAATGTTTTGCTCCTTTTTTTATTTCTCTCCCTGTAGATTGTGGATTTAAATCTGGACCTGGTAACAGTGGCTGACAGAGTGAAGAGAGAGAAAGAGTGTAATTAGCAATGGAGATTAAACTAATTGAATTAACTTAATTAATCACGGAATAGTTTAACAAGTGGTTTTGTGTTAAGATGAATGGCTTCAGCTGTTTCAGCAGACAAAAAAGCGTGTAAGTTGGGAGACTGTATTATCGGACAGTAAAACTTCAACTCTAGTCGGCCTTTTTTTTTTAAAACTTTGGTTTCCGTATGCGCATAGGGGTTGCTAAAACGGGTAAGGGTGCTTGATTAGGGATGATAACAGTTCCGATCGAATTAGTTGAAAATTTGATGCAATCTAAGAAGTATATTCTTGTATTTGAGTTTAAGGAGATATTTGATCTGAAATTTATTTTAATTTTTGAGAATTAATAATAATAAAAATTAAATTAATATATAGAAAGAAATATTATAGCAAATATATTTTATTATAAAGAAATTAATATTATTATTTAGAGTTGGATCGAAAAATATTTCATCATAAATTTAAACATGATTTGACTTTACTCTTTACAAATAGAGATGAATTGTTCTTTGAAAATTTTAAATTATCATGTTTTTAGATTTTTTTTCTTTCTATTTTTATTGATAATATATTTAGTCTTTAAAATTTTATAAATTCACCTCTCTAACATAAATTTTATGTGCGTCGATGTTTACAAAATTCAACCTCACTCAAACTTGATTTAAAAAAATGGTTTATTAAATTCAAATTTATAAGATTCAAGTTAAATTTCATGTTTTTAGTAATTTTATTTTATTTATTAAAATAATACTTATATTAAGTATTTTATATCATAACTAACTTAAAATGATCTATTGAGTAGTCTCAATAATTAAAGAGATTATATTTTTTAGTAGTTTTTTTTATGCTTCTTTGGGTAATTAATACATTGGAATGGAATTATCTACAAAATAAGTAAAGAGATTGTTATTTTCTCTTAAAATTTTAAATTTAAATAATTATATTTATAAGATACATATATTATTAATAATTAAAATATATATATAATATTTTCTTATAATTATCTCATATTATTATGAAAAGTTCATCCTTTGAGGTCGAAATAAGTCATAATGAAGCTCCTCATTACTCGACCAATGACTTTCAACGCGGTTGTATAAATGACAGATGGTACGAGGCAAGAGGGGTGACCTACTGTAAAATAGTAAAAATTTAAAACTTTTATTGAAACGTGTAACTATAAAATCAGTTGTCAATATTTTAAAAATAAAACAGATTTTCAGACTCGTATATAAATCAAAATACAATTACATGCCCCCTAATCACTGTACTACTCTGCAGCAACGCCGGATGAACTCCCTTATTGAAGTCGATAGATGCACTGGTACAATTCTTTTAACCTGAAAATGTGAGTAATAAGTGAGCTTTGGAAAGCTCAGTAATACAACTACCAGATGATGCTGATGAACGTGCAGATACAGATAAATATATATTTCCTTATTGTTTACGAACATGTACAGATTTTTATACTGAGCAGAGATCCTACCGATATTTCAGGTGGTAACGGAATGAGCTTTCAGTTCAGAGAAATATTTCGGATGATTGAGTTTAAGAGATCAGAATAGGTTTTCTAGTGTGTTCCCAAAAACCATGTAACTTTTCAGATCTTTTTAAAACATATATATATATACCCCCATCCGTCACGAAAAAAATATGTAGGTTACCCAGAACCATACAACCCCTTCACGTCCAGTAAGGCCCTGAGCACACAGCCGAGGAACCGCTAAGTAAGGCCCTGAGCACACAACTGAGGAACCTCCAAGTAATCTTCCTCCAACAATACCCCCCAATAAAACATGTTCCGTCCGTAAACGGATATATCAAAATCAAAACATAATTCAAGTCAAGTATCATATCAGAATCCAGTCATGTATCAGATCAGAATCCATGTGAATATCAGATCAGAATCCAGGTCAGGTATCATAACAGAATTCAAATTTGAAATCAGATAAAATATTTATGTAATTAGGGAACACACCAGAGTTTACATGTATTACTTAAAGGTATTGTATCAGGCAGAGAAACACAATTTTTCAGTATGTCGATAGAATGTTGGAATTTAGAATCACTATTGGAATAGTTCATTAACTGACAGAATCATCAGTTATTCAGAATGTGAATTATCAGGATATTATCTTATTCAGGCAGTTTTCAGAAGTTGTACGTAACCATAAGGGTATTCAGAATCCTTTACATCCATGTCAATTGATCGGATAATCGAACAACTTGAGAACGAAGATTCAGAACCTTAACAATCTATATCGACTGGTCAATTCATTTTCCTTCTAGGGTATTTACTCTTTAATACCACAAATTCTTGTCCGTAGACCATTTTCGGAATCATCGCTGAATAAATCTTCCAATGTCTTTATTTCATTTCCACGCTTCCACAATATCATGAAATACTGACGTACTTGATTAATTTGTTCATAATCCATTGTAATTGTACACTACGTAAACTCATCAGAGTTTCCAGACTTATCCAAAACACTTATTAAATCCTTAGTCATTGAGGTTACCTAGTTCATTTAGCAGTCATGTTCATTCCAGTTACTTCAGGATTTTCCAGAGTAATTAAAACGTTCCTGAATTTCAGATACATGTTGTACTTCCATTACATTCAATTTGGTCTTCGTGGTTGATTTGCCGAACAAACGTCCAATTCTTAGTACTGATACGATCTAGAGTTAAGCTGAGCTGAATACTTCCAAAATTTATCATCGAGTCAAACTTGAGAGACGAACACATGTTCCAGTAATATATGCCATTCAGGTATTGACATAGCTTTAGGGTTGATCTATTCACTTAAATTGTTTTCCATTACCTTTAAAGGTAGTCCAATACTTATGCTTACTTGGATTCCTGAATTAATCCAAGACATTTACTTAATTTAGGCCATAAGGGTATTTTGGTAATTTTGATGTTCAGTTTTATTCCATTCATTTCAGAGCTCGAGGATATTCAATCATTCCTGAGCTTGGTGATATTCTTGAGTCATTTACATTACAGGGGTATTTTGGTCATTTTACAGATTCAGCGTATTTCAATCCTTTCATTACGTCCGATCTTACTATTAAATTCAATCTTATCATTTATTTAGTCCTTTCAAACAATTATGATAGCATAATACCCCCGATAAATTATTCTTCAAGTATTTACCCATTATTCGATTTTCGGGTCAAGTGTCTTCTCAGATTTTACAAACGGAAAATCAAGAATTTTCTTGAACTAAGTCAGGATCTTAATAATCAAATCCGTACTTAATCGAGTTAAGTACGAATCCTCAAAGTATTTTCTCATTCAACGTTAACTAGGATTAATTTACCTCTCAAGGGCATTCCCGTAATTTCTTAACCAGATAATTCATATTAGCTCTTAACGAACATAATATAATTTAGAGATCCTATGATCAATTATTTTCCCGAGCATTCTCTTATCTTGAAATGATTACTTAATAGAATTCTAATATCTTGCACAAACCCTCTAGTGGTTAAAAACCGTTATCCGTATTTCATAAGCAAAATCTAGCATTTCTTAAGCACATCGTAGTTTTATCATATCAATATCCTTTCAGAGTTATTATTCACTTCCAGTGACAATTCTTGACATCTTACAACTTAAGGGTATTTTCATAATTTTACCCTATTGGAGTATTATCATAATTTTCCATCCAAATACCTTTAATATTTAATCTTTGATGAAATAAACTAAGTTACAAATCCATGTTGATTTCTTTATCACTAAGCACAGAACTTGTAATTTAATTATAACAATTCATCAATCTCTTAATAATCATCTATGCCAAATTTAGTTACCTACTTGCTACCGTATTCGTATCAAGTGTAGATCTTCATTAATTACACATATGAGACCAAACATTTCCATTCATGCATTTACCAATACCAACATGTTCTATAAAGCATAAAGATGTAGTAAAATATTACCTCGATTTCCGTGCAATACTGATCGACCATAAAATTCCATTCGAACGCCCTCGACTTGAAATCATCGTCCAATATTTTATTGGATCCATATCAACAGAAATTACATAAAAAAATGGAGCTTAATTGCGATAAACGGATCAAATCGGGTGATAAATCAGTGAAAAATAGCTTACCGGGTTCGAATTTGGCGAAACGGACTTCGGATTCAGGACGTCGAAAGCATAAAATACGACTTTTCAAAATTTGAAATTTTCGATCAAAATCAAAGTCAACGTTTGACTGCCAATTTCGAGGTATTCGGGTCTGAATTTCAAAAAATCGGACTGCAAATCGGATTTGGAACGTCGAAAAATGTCAGGATAGGTATACTCGGTCAAAGTCAAGGTCGTTTAATGCCCGGTCAAAGCCGGTCAAAGTTTTGGTCAATAGTGGTCAACGGTCAACGGTCGGGTCGGTTAACGGGTCGGTCGGGTTATGATCGGTCAAACCGTCAACTATGCAAAACCGGTCAACCCGATCATTTGGACCATCCCCACGCGTAG